GTGATGCAGCCATAATAAGCAGTGTCCCACTTCAACTCTTCTTGGACCTTGTCTTTTTTCTAATGCTGGACACCAACGCACATACAGTGCGCTACACCTCTCTGCACCACTGGCACTGCCCCATTCTCTCTCGGGACTCTCAATTGAAACAAACCAAACAGGACGCGAATTTTGTCTTGCTCTCATCAAAATATGTACTGCCTGAACTCTAAGGTAAGATCTACCAGCTGTGTACAGTAACGCTTATGCTCTGGAGAGAGGTTACTATGTGTATTATGTTATTCAGTGTATTATACATACACTGACAAACCACTATAATTTTTATTATTGCTGAACACAGCATGGCATACACATGTTCACAATTTACACTTTTAAATTACAAATGTAAAATACAAATGTACAGTTCTTAAAGTCGTGGTGGATATTTTCCCCCCCAATATTATAGTCTATTAAAACTGTGTTACACTGTGTTACTGTGTAACACCATGTAATCTTTGAGGGTCTACCATCACGGTCAGTTTAGTTCCTTTTTATCTGAAGTGTGTTGTGTTTAGTTACAAAAGAGCATCTGTTTCACCACTGTGTCGACTTGCACCACTAACGTATAAATTAGGTTGAAGGTGTAGTCAGGGACACTAATTAGGGCTATGAATATTAACATGGCCATTTTGTGCTGCTGTGGAATTTCCGATCTCTGGGCTGTGCTGGGATTCCACGGATCATTTTACACTATGACATACATTTCAGAATTTATTTTTATAGCGATTCCATTTATTTGTGTGTCTTTTCACGGCATCTATTCTTTTTTTTATTTATTCCTTTATTATCTTAAAGGAAATTAACTAATCTGAAGCTAAGCTTTGTCAAGAGCTAAATTATTAGAAATCAGACAAAAATTGTGGGATGGTTATTTTACCTTTGGAATCGTGTCAACTGCGAAGTCAAGGTTTGTGTAAAACTCCAACAAAAATTATGAATTTAAAATAGCAAACACTGTGTATGGCACCAATCGTGCCAACACAGCAAGGTTAGTTCAACCAATGATGTGAGTTTTGGGGTGGGACTATCTATTGGCCTGCCCAATGGGACATGATCAGGAAACATGTTTGGAAACAGGCAGGAATTAGTTTTGCGGCTGTGTTTGGTGGTGCTATATTAACACAGAAACTACTAATTTTATTTTTTTATTTTTTTATTTAATTAATTTTTCTTAAGACAAAAAGTAGAAGATAAGTGATGATATGGGTGGAAGAGATCAAGGACAAATTATTATAGAGAGTCAGGCTTCATACTTGATAGGAATCTTGTTGATTTGGAATTCACAAGGAAGGGCAACTTGTGGCTTCGTAAGTAAATATGATTTACCTCAAGTGCATGGTACATATCACACATGGAATGGAAATCTGATTAATGTCTGAAAACCGCAAACGTTCTTTTAGATGGTTCATTTCTGCGAGCAAGTTAAAAACGGTTCATTAATCAGTTATTTTTTATGTCATCGCAATTTGACAACATTCATCATTCAAATTCTCGATACACACATGCCCTTGTGTCAGTGCACTCAGTTCGAACTGTTTTAAACGATTCAGTTCGATTTGGTCAACTGGTTCAACCGGTTCACTGAAAATAATCGGTTCAAAAGAATGATTCGTTCACGAACCAGACTGTGTTTACGCAAAGACATTGACAATTACATGATTTCCTTTAGAGTCAGCTGATTAATGGAAATGTATATCTCAAGACATGAAAGTTGAAACTAAAAATTACATGAGTGAAGAAAGTGGGCCAACTGAACCTATACGTTACCTGAGAGAGGCTAGGCTACTTACACACCTTTACAGTAATGATGTAAACATCTACTGACTCAGGTTCCATCAGAGCCTCAGCTGACCGTCCCAGCAGTCAGAGGGATTAAACATCCATCAGTTTGTAAAAATAAAATAGAGGCAGTTTTATACCAAATGGGCTATGCGCCACGAGCCTCGTGTTGGTGAGTGGGTAGTAATTAGCAGAAAACAGATCCACCTAATCAAAGATCAGTAACTAGACCCCAACAATGTAATTTTGTGCAGAAGAAGACAGGTAGGAGGGGAGGGAGCAGGGTGTTAGCTCAGGTTTCCACAGCCTTGTGTTACACATGGTGGCGCAGCGGCCTCTAAGGAGAGGCGCAGAATGAGATCTCTTGCTGCCCCTCCATGAATCATTCAGCATCTTGGAGCAGACCATGAGCCGAGTTTAGTAGTGGTGCTTAAACTGAATAAATTCATGAGAACAAGGGATAGAAACATGTGAGATAGAGAAGAAGAGTGAGAAAGAAAAAGAGAGTTGAATTGAACAGGACCGGATGTGAAGTGGATCACCCTAGACGTGTCTTCTGCTGGTCTGAGTTTCCGTCATGCCAGGGCAAACAAACTGGGAACTGAAGGCCCTTTAAAATTTTGAGCCCTGGACAAATACTAGGAGAATTAGGATTCATCTCTTCTGGAAAAGTCAATGGATGCTGAGGTAATTCAGAAAAATTTCATATACTTCTGCATTTGTCTGTGGAGAAAGCAGCTGAAATAATGTATTAAAATGTAAATACTCATAAGCTGTGTTCAATTTTTGTCAGATTTTGCCTAAGATTTATATATATATATATATATATATATATATGTATACACACACACACACACACAGTAGGCCTATAACACACAGATAATTTTAAAAAGTCTGAAAAAAGTCAGAATAAAATCAGAAGCATACTCTATTACTTTATGAATTAATAATGCACAAACTGACAAAAAGCATTACAGTTTTTTTATTCTTTAATTCCTCTTTATAAAAAAAAACATTTTAGATTTATAACATTTTATGAAAATGTGACTCAAAATAGGACTAGAAAATGACTGTGAGATTGTACAGACTTTCTTTTTTTAAATTACCTTTTGGGAAAAAAAAGAGTTCTCACTAATACTTAAATATTAAAATTGATGAATTATTGACAAATAATTATTGATAAATTATAAAAAAATATAAAAATTCAAATTTAGACTTTAAGCTGCAAATATTTGTCAAGTCTTTGTGTAGTGGCTCTTATGGAAGAATGTGGGCCAGTGACTAACGATGAGCTCTAGCTCTATCCAAAGTCTGAAGCCATATTGTGAGCTGAGCACTGAGATCCTGTGACATACTGGAGTTTTGGAACAATAGAGTGGCCTCTCAGGTGATGGTCAGTAAGCCAGATAGACTTTCCTTCTCCGTTAAAATCAGCTTTAATGTCTCAGTGACTCACTCGGAAATACAGCAGGATGTATCTAATAACAGTGACACCAAAGTGGAAATCTAAGTCATCATGGAAATTAATTTTTTTTTTTTTTTTTCAATTCAGACCTATTCAATTTTGATTGTAAGAAAAAAAAAAAACTGCAAGCAAGCTCACAATAACAGTAAGAATAATAAGTGTATACATCATATATAATATTGTGTGTATATATTATTATTATATTCATTTTTTTAAATATATATATCATATTGTAGTTTTTGTATTTCTATATAAATATTCAGATGTTGCAACCAAGTAATGGTAAAGTTAAATAAAAAAGTGTTTCATCTGTAACAAGAGATGTCCTAGAGTTTAAAGTTAAGATCATGATTGTCTTTTAAACGAATACTCTACATGACACGCTGTGTGTAATGAGAGAAGAACATTAACAGACTGCCAGAGGCTTGGCATCCCCTCTTGGCTCTAGTTTGAGTGCTCTTTGCCAGCTGATAGGCAGGACTCAAGTGTGATGCCAGCTTTATCTTTCAGAGCATTTCCTAGTCTCTGCACTTTCGCTTTTGTGGTACTCAACTGACTGACAGCAAACTTAGTGCGTTTTATCTTAGTAATGTTGTCAATAACTGTTTAACCCTGTAGCAAACTACTTAAAATGCATGAAAGTATAAGTTGTCACTCTATATCTCCCATTAATATGTCTTAGTAAAATGATATTTAAATGCTAAGTTTTATGATCAAAGCTCTGTAGGTTTTATTGTGGGGAGGGGGGACATATAATGCAATGCAATACAATGACTATTTAGAAATGTACAAATTCTTCAAAAGCCTCTTGTATCATATTTGATACTCATATTTTAGCTACTTCAGTCCAGTAAGTGTTCATCTTGATTTATTACTCACAAAATAAGTTATTCTTACGTTTAACAACAATGAAGATTTCACAGCAAAAAGACACGTGTACCACGACCTGAATGGGGGACGTTTTCATAATTATAGTAAAAGGCTTTTTACTTGCTAAAAGGTATAACCTATCAATCAGATGACAGAAGGGTTTTCAGCAAAGTTTTGGTCATGTTGATAATTAAGGGGCCTTAGTAATTTCTGTATCAAATATGATACAGTAGGCTTTATTGGGTACAAGTAATCACAACTGGACAATTCAGAAAAGGATGACTTTTATGATGAATTGTAAACTTACTGTAACTCATTCTTGTGGTTTGAAATGGCAGGCTTCTTCAAATAAGATATTATTAGTAATTTTTGTGTTTGTGTGTGTGAGGAAGAAAGAGAGAGGGAGAGTGTGTGTTCCATCTGTTCTTAGAGGTAAATCAAGCATCGGTAGCACCAGACAGGAATAGTTCATTTATTGAGAGTTTTTGTATGTCCGTGACCTTGGCCCAAATTCCATCCCATGACAGGAACGGAGAGGAACCGTGTAATCTCGGATAGAAATAGACTTGCCCTCAGGTTTAAGGGAACCAAGATAGGACAAACCTATGCTGAGCTGAGCTTTTCAGGATGCAGGGCAATAAATCCATAACGATTTCTGTTTCAGACAGATGTTTCTTGACACACACACAAACACACACAGACCCCCGCTTCCTTAGCTAACTTTTTATTGATGACTTCCCATGGTGGAAGTGGTGAGTGTGATATGACATTGTTTCCTGCTGTACTTGAAATAATCACAGATGCTCTTTACAAAACTGGATAAGATCACACACACAGTTCCCACATCAGAACACAGAAACAATCACTGCACTGAAGGTAAGGGCTCCCACTTTACTTTGGGTTAACTATCTTTTTCATATGAATTCTTTAGATAAACTTTCCAAATATTTCAGTGTAAAATATTATGCAGATGTTGATGCAAGTTTACTCTTGTAGTGAATAAAGTTGATCCAGCTGGACTAATGGTGAAATACAGCTCACGATGATGTGTCTCTTGGCAGATAAACTGTGTAACTGTTTTTTATTTTATTTGTTTTTTAGTTTTTTATGTAACAGGAGTAGAATGACTCAGAAATAGTATGTCAAACTGAGAATCACAGTGTTTCTGCAACTAAAATGTGTATTTTTCTTTAACAAAACTTATTTTTCTTTGGTAAAATTTTTTTAAACCAAATTATTTAGTATTTGAATATATTGTTAATATTTGCAATATTTGTATAATGTAAAAAAAAAAAATCCCATAACATTTTCACAGTCATTTATATGGTAATAGTATGGTAATAGTTTTTACTTCCAAAACCATACATTTTAAAATATTTTACAGCAAATATTTCAACAAATGTGGTAAGGTATGGTAAGTTAACCACAAACAAATTTTTCCTGTATATATATATATATATATATATATATATATATATAGGGCCTTTTA